GTGTGTGTGTGTGTGTGTGTGTGTGTGTGTGTGTGTGTCAGCAAGAGTAATACAAGTAGAGTATGTCTTAGTAATGCTTTCAGGTCTGAAGAAAATGCCCTTGATGCCCTCATCTTCACTTTGGGTTGTACTCCAGACTGAACACTTCGGTGTGCTCCGTGGGCAGCAGCATTTTGAGATGCTTGGCTAATGCATTCTCTACCAGACAAAATTAAAACACCTTGATTGTCTTTTAGGCATTGATGTGATTTCTGTGAAGGCATGAAAAAGATACCTAAGACATTTGGTATTTACTAATTTTTGAGAGTCCTGTTGAAGCTAAAGAATTGTTACAGTGTGTTGGAAGGGTAGTGGATGTCCGAAACCAAGACTTCAGAGGTGATGAATTGCTGGTGATGACAGAGTTCATTTGTGGCATTAAGAATAAGCACTTGAGATGGATTGGAAAAAATGGTCTTTGGAGTTTAGAAAATGAAGCAGCTGAGAAGCCATAGAATTAAATAAGTCATGTACAGTGCTGTCCCTGAGAATGCCAGTCTTTGGCATAGAGAATAAGACTTTGAGTCAAGAGTTAGTCTTTAGCAAGTGAGGGGAGGTGAAGAGGAGTTCATCAAATGAGAGCAGAAAAGAGAGAGACAAGATGATGTAACCAAGTGTAAGCCTCAGGAGCCAGGGCTTTGTTTTCTGGAGTAAGGGGTAAAGTCTGAGAGCCAAATTCAGGGTTGCTGGGGAAGTCGTATTGTCAGAGGACTGACAGTTTAATTACCACAGAGATAGTGTTCAACGACGCTGAAGTTCTGAAGGGTAAGGATCACAGCAGGAAATCATGGGGGCATAGTGAAAGAGTGTGGGCAGGAGGAAGGGATGAGGAGATTGGTTCAGATCAGGATCTGTGAGCAACATGGAGAAGGGACTCCCGGCACAGGTGGCTGACCAGAGACATTTGCCCTTCTGGCAAGGCTGAGATGCACAGCAGTGTAAGATGGGATTAGCTGTGGTAATAATGGAGAGGGATGGCCTCAGTTTTAATGCCAGGCCCTGATATTTTGACACAGTGTCCAGGGTTCCTAATTCCTGAAGCCTTGCACAGGGACATGTTAATAAGAACTACTCCAGCAGACTGCAGGAGGGTGTGAGAGTCCTTTCCCTGTGCTGGCCCATGTAGTTCTTGTATAGGCTTCTTTTCATTGACATTAGCATTCAAAGTAACTACAGAAAACGTGACATGTCAGTCACCTTTAAGACTCATGGTTAGAGGTTTTATAGCTACACGGATGAAGAAGTAAATTCTAAGAGGTAAGTGAAAACTCTTTGACCTGGGTAACACTTCAAAAAGATGAATTATAGGTGCATAGTTGTTGACTAGCATTTTTTAGTTCTTTGAAGTGAGGGAGGCTACAAGTGTTACTCCAAATCACTAAACTCATTCATTACTAGAAACTGACTAAAGGGCCTTTAAACAGAATAGGAGAATGTGTATTCATCCATAGATAGGGTGATAATTTCATTGAGTGTCTAAACCACAGTACTTTTCAGCATAAAAAAAAGTTATTATTAATAATTAGAATGGTACATCAGTATAAACTGGAACTGTTCTGCACAACCCAGGACATGTGGTCCCCCTCTTTATATACAGATATAAATTCCTTTATGGTTTACAGCAGGTGCTTCTAATATGTAATTTATTTATGATTAGCAAGATATTTAAGAAAATCAGCCTTAAAAAGCATTGTGCCTCTAGGAGTTTGCTGTTAGTGATTTTAATAAGTACTTTTGTTACTCTGTTTTGATTTTAGAGGTAACATTGCCCTCAGTTCCAATTTATCTTACTATTTTTCCTGTTTTTTTTTCTTTTCTTTTTTCCCTTTACCATTTTAGTAATGGCAACATTACAGTTACCAGCCACTAATTTGGCCAACTTGGCAAATTTGCCTCCTGGCACTAAACTCTACCTTACAACAAACAGCAAGAACCCTTCAGGAAAAGGAAAACTGCTGCTGATCCCTCAAGGAGCCATCCTGCGAGCTACCAACAATGCTAGTTAGTCCATCATTAAGTCATTTGCTTCTTGGGTCTCTGGGTATGTGCATCTCATCCACCTGAGAGGCAGTTCTCACCTGTTTGAGGAAGCCTTTTCATAACTCTGTTTAGTGGTATAATGGTAGCATTTACCCAAATGGATTTAAAACATACACATACCATTGATGGGTGGATAAAGAAGAAACGGTACACATACACAATGGAATATTACTCAGCCATAAAAAGGATGAAATTTGCCATTCATGTGAACATTGATGAACCTAGAAGTTTTTATGCTCAGTGAAACAAGCCAGACAGAGACAGACAAATACCATACAATTTCACTTACATATGGGATTCAAAAAACAAAACAAATGAACAACCAACCAAAAAACCCAGACACAGACTCATAAATACAGAGAACAAATCGGTGGTTGCCAAAGGGAGGGGGCTGGGATGATGGGCGACAAAAGTAAGGAGATAAAAACATATAAACATCCAGTTATAAAATAAGTAAGTCACAGAGATGAAGAAGTACATCCTAGAGAATATAGATAATTTGTCATAACTTTATATGGTGACAGATCATAGCTACACTTATTATGGTGAACATTTCATAATGTATATAAATGCCAAATCACTGAGTTGTATGCCTGAAATTGATTTAATACTATATGTCAACTGTACAACAGTTAAGAATAAAAATAAATTTAGAAATCATACACATAATTTAACTATACATGGGTTTAAATGTCATAGTCTTAGGAGGTAACACTGTTATTTTGGGTTTATTGACTCAGAGTTTGTGATCAGGAACAAATTCCACTGGAGAGGTATGGCTCTGTGGCTGCATTGGGAGAAAGCTGTCTGTGAACTGTAAATGAAGAAGAGTTCTTTCTCACACTGGTATCTTAAAACTCGTGACACCTGGGAGAACATAGCTGGAAACCTATTTTTAGTTAGAAGGGGATAGGAACAGTTTTGGAATCAAATGTCTTTGCTTGCCATTATTTAGATGTGTATCTTAGGTTTGCTAGTTTGGAGATGAAAAGAGAAATATAGGCTTGGCCTTAGTGTATAGGTCTTAAAGGCCCAAGAAAATTAGGTGGCTCATCTAGACTGATATAAATCTTTGCTTTACATAGAGAAAAACAATTTGGGTAGTGTTGGAAAGGAAAGTGTAAATGGGATTATTTCCCTCTGAATCAGAAGTGTAATTGTCACAGCAATCAAATTCATTAGAAGTCAGCCAGTCTTGCCAAAATACGCAGTGTGTAAGCTAGTCACCATTTTATTTCCTCACTAGTATGGGTGATTTCCACTCTTAACCTGATATTTTCTTGTCATACTTAAGCAGTGATATATCAAGAAGTTAAGATATATAAAACGAGGACAGTGTAAGTATTCCAAAATTCACCCAGAGACCTACTTAGATTTTAATTTACATATACTGTGTCACCAAAAGGGAAGTAAAAAGGGCCCAAAAGCTTTAAAGTGGAATTTGGAAAGCAAAAAAGACTGTGGCCCTGGAGTCATTATAAATATGAGGAAAGTCAATTTTTTCCAGGGCAGGGGTAGTCAGAAAAGAGGGTATACTGGAAATTCTACTATATTCCAGCAGTTTCACAGAAATGGAATCAGATGCCAGAAAGTTTGAAAGCACTTCTCTGTGTACATGATTTTTTTAAATTAAGGTAGCATTGATGTGCACTCTGTGAAGGTTTCACAAGAAAAACAATGTGGTTATTACATTCACCCTTACTATCGAGTTCCCCCTGCCATACCCCATTGCAGTCACTGTCTCATCGGTGTAGTAATCTGTATACGTGATTTTAAATCAGCACTTGGTTAGAAAATGTTAATGTCAGACTCTTGATCTCCCACAGGTAAGTCAGAACACTTGTCTAAGTTCTTCATTGTGCTCAGAGCTGTACAACTAGTCATTCAGTTGAAAGTCAATAAATTTCAGTCTCAGCTCCAGGAAGTTCTCCAAACTCTTGTCACAGAATAGTTACATTACAAAAAAGGAAGGAAAATAGGAGAGAGAAGGAATGGTACTGGTAAAGGAAACATCTCCCTGGCTCATCTGTTTTTTCTCTTAAGCCGTATCTGAATACCTCATGCTCTTGCTGTCCTTCATTGTATTTGCAGACCTCCAGTCTGGCTCAGCTGCTGGTGGTGGAGGAGGAGGCAGCACGGGAGGAACCCAAAGCCCCGCTGGCCCCGGAGGGATAGCCCAGCACCTGACTTACACATCTTACATCCTCAAGCAGACTCCTCAGGTCTGGTCATCTGTGACTGGTATCTTTCAAGTCAGTCGTTTTATAACTGCCTTTAATTATACTAGTGGACTGACTTTATAGCTTTGGGATTAGGGATCAGTACTAACATTTTAGCCATGTTATAAATCTGTATTATTTTGGCTTGTTTTGAGAGAGGAGGAAATAAGAGATTCAGGAAGATTTAAGTAACTGGTGTAAGATCTCTGCTAAGATAATGGTAGCACTCATAGAAAGATTTTTGCTGTGCTCTTGCCTCCCACATCCATGAGGTAATGAAGAGTGTTACTATGCAGTCGGAAATTTTTCCCTTAGTAGGGAGTAACCAAAGAGATCTATCAAGTCGTGGTATTTGAAGTGAGATTGGATTTGAGATTAGGACAGGTTTCCAACTTCTTTCTCTAAGTCTGGGCTCCTCTCTAAGGAAGGTTAGAGTTTTTGTTCCAAACATTATGAGAAGGATGGATAGTTATCAGTGTCAGTGATTAAATCCAACTTTGAGGACTAGATTATAAAGCTTGAGTTTCTAATAGCCTGTTCTGTGAGTATTGTGCAGAGTTTGGAAATTAGGGATGACTCTTGGTAGTGACACTGAAAGCAGGCTATTCATTCAGTTATTTTTATTTTGTTGCAAGATGAAGGTGAGGGAGCATTGTAGCTTATAACACAGGTCCTTATGACCTAAAGAGCAAGTCAATTGAATTTAACAAATTACTAATTAAAGTTTTTATTTGTTACTAATTTAGGGCACATTTTTAGTTGGCCAGCCATCGCCCCAGACATCTGGAAAACAGCTGACTACAGGGTCAGTGGTCCAGGGAACTCTGGGAGTGAACACATCTTCTACACAAGGACAACAAACATTAAAAGTCATCTCTGGACAAAAAACCACTTTGTTTACCCAGGTAAATACACACACACACATATCAAATACTTGGGTGGATTATAGTGTTTATTTAAATATTTATAGCTTATCTCTTTCCACAAAGAAATTAAGGTAACATAAGAAAATTAACAAAATAGTATAGAAAAATATGAATAAAATCTTGAGATTTGTGAAAATATAAGTAGATGGAGGAGCTAAACCAGAGAGTTACTTAGATATGCAAACAGTAATGTCTGTATGGCTAATAAAATTTGCCAAAGCAAAATGAGAAGCATGATCACTTTAAAATTCACACTGTTTGTGAAAGGGAAACAGAATAACCACATAATATTTCCTTAGAAAAAATGAAGATTTTCTTAACACTTCGTTCTAGAATTTCTCTGGAGGAACTGCATGTAGGAGGTTCTGAATAGTGTAATAGGTGATTTCAGCTCATAAAATCCACATGCTAAGTAAACAAACACTAGAGGCAACTTGGCACATGCTTCTGGAGCATTCTTGAGTATACGCCCAGCTAAAATTCTGGGTGAGGTCTCTCATAATCATCTATAGGAGAATCTGTAGCTAGATCTCAAACCTTATTAGCAAATGAAACAAATAAGGTCTAGAAGGATATAGACAGTATGATACCATTTATCAAAAAACAGTTCATTTTCTGTGACTATATGTAGATCAGCAGTTCTTAAAACATGAAATTGATACTGGATTTTGTCAAGTGCATTTTCTGTCTATTGAGAGGATCATATGGGGTTTTTTTTCAGTTTGTTAATATGGTGAATTACATTGACTTTTGTTTTATCAAATATTAAACCAACCCTGTATTTCCTGGGATAAACCCACTTGGTTGTGATACGTTTTCCTCTTTTAAACAGGTTATTGTTGGGTTTAACTCGGTAAGCCTTTTTTTAGAATTTTTGCCAGGAATACTTGTCAGTAGTTTTCTTTGTAAGTTCTGTCTGGTTTTGGTGTGAGAGTAATGCTGGCTTTATAAAATGAGTTGGAAAGTTCTCTCTTCTTTACTTTTTGGGGAAGAATTTATGTAGTACTGGTATAATTTCTTAACTATTTAGAATATACCAGTGAAGCCATATGGCTTAGAGTTTTCCTACTGGGGAAGGTTTTTAACTATAATTTCAATTTATTTAATAGATACAGAATTATTCAGGTTATTTATTTTGTCTTGAGGGAGGTTTGGTTTATATCTTTAAAGGAATTTATCTATTTCATGTAAGCAGTTGAATTTATTGGGATAAAGTTCATAATTTTTCCTTATCTTTTTAATGTCTGTAGAATCTTTATTGAAGTCCCCTTTTTATTCTTGACTTTGATAATTATATATCTCCTCCTTTTTTCTTGGCCCATCTATCTAGAGGTTTATCTATTTCATTGATCTTTAAAATTATCAGCATTTGGTTTCCTTGAGTACCAATTTCTTGTCAGTCAGATGCTCTTAGCTGGTTCAAATATGAAGACCCCAGACTCTTTAGTCAGTTCTTTAAAATCTTAGCTGATTTCTTATCAGCTTAAGTTGCAGTCAGCTCAGTGACTTTCTCTCTTTTCTGCCACAGCTGATACAATTACTGTTGCCTTTTATTATAGTTAATATGAATAAGCACAGATCATAAGTATACAGCTTTGAGTTGTACAGAAGTGAGTTTTAACAAGTGTATATACTCATGCAAGCACTATCCCAATCATAGAACACTCCCATCACTCTAAAATATACTCTTGTTTCTCTTTCCAGTTTTTTCCATCACCATTTTTTCTGTTTCTATTACCATAGATTAGCTTTTGTCTATTCTTGAACTTTATATCAATAAAATTGCATAGCATTTAGTCTTTTATGTCTACCTTCTATTGTTCAACATAATGTTTTTGAGATTTATCCATGTCTCAAGTACACTAATATCCGTATCTCAAGGATACCGTATCTGAGTACACTAGAGTAGCTAGGTCATAGGGTATGTTTGTAAGAAACTTAAGAACCTGAAAAATGGTTTTGCAAAGTGATTGTCTTATTTGACACACTCACAAGTCATGTTGGGAGAGTACCTACTCACCAACATGGAGAAACCTCATTCTTTTTCATTTGAACCATGTTTATGAGTATGCAGTGACATCTTATTGTGGGTTTAATTTGCATTAAGACTCCAAAACAAATTATGCCATAGCTACTACTTCTGGATTCTAATCATGTCTCCTCCAGTTACTAGCTGTGTGACCCTGGTAAATTTATTGAGCTTACTCTCCTCATCTGTAAAATGGGACTAAAATCTAACTCATAATAAAGTTTATGAAAAGATTGACTTAAGGTATGTACAAGTGCTTTCTGTCATTTCTGGCACATAGTAAACTCTCAGAGACTGATACATCATATCTATTTGTGGGGTGCATTAATTTTGGGCACGAAGTAATCATATAGTCCATGGGTCAGCAAACCAAGCCCAAGGTTTCCTGTTCTTATAAATAACATTTTATTGTAACATGCCACACCCATTTCATGCTATAACAGTAGAGTTGGGTTGCAACAGAGACCATCTGGCTTGCAAAGCCAGAAGTGCTTAAGCCATTTTCAGGAAAGGTTCACTGAGCCTTGATTTAAATCACTAAAACTGTAGTTTGTTAAAGGATTCTCTGGTACTTAGATGCTAATCTAGTAGTAGCCCAGAGCACCATTAACTTAACCATTTAATTCTGGTCTTTCTTGGTTAGATTTTCATGTTTAAGAGCATTTGCACTCAATTATTTTGATAACAAATGGCCTGGTATCTTTGAAGACACTGCTGCCAAATAGTGACTTACAAATGCATTCATTTACTTGTTCTGCATTATAGGTAAAGGAACAGTTGCAGGTAAAAGATGCTCTTTACATCTTGAAAGCTTGTTGGAAAGGTATACAAACACTTCATATAATTTTTTTTTCACTTCATATAATTTTGATTAATAAGACTTCTTAGATACGCTCTAATCCTTATAGATAAGGAGTAAATTGTGCCTGTGAACATTACTACTTCAACCCATTTTGTTTCTGCAGGCAGCCCCTGGGGGACAGGCATCTCTAATGAAAATATCTGACAGCACATTGAAGTCTGTGCCTGCCGCCTCACAACTCTCAAAGCCTGGAACCACGATGCTGAGAGTAACAGGAGGGGTTATCACAACTGCCCCTTCCCAGGCAAATGGTCCTGCACAGCAGGTAGGATCAGCATGGTAGGAGAAAATCATAATAGAACCTGAAAGCCGTTAATAGAAGGAAGATACCCAGCAGGCACACCAGTGGGCTGTCCTCCTCTATACGCTGGATCAGAATGTAACTGTGTGTAACATTTTGAGGAACTGCCAAACCGTTTTCCAAGCAACTGCACCATTTTAGATTGCCACCAGCAATTATGAGGACTCCAGTTTTCCATATCTTTGCTGACACTGTTCTTGTCCTTTTTTGTTGTTGTTTTTTGTGAGATTTTTTTTGTTTTGGCTTTTTTGTTATACCCATCCTACTGGATGTGAAGTGGTATTTCATTGTGATTTTGATTTGCAGCTCCCTGAAAGCAAATGATATTAAGCACCTTTTCATGTCCTTATTGGCCATTTGTGTATCTTCTTTGGAGAAATGTCTATTCAGACCCTTTGCCCATTATTTGGTTGGGTTATTTATTGTCTTTCTATTATTGAGTTGTAGGAGTTCTTTATATTTTCTAGTCTCTTAATCAGATTTGCAGAAATTTACTCTATTCTATGGGCTGTCTTTTCACTTTCTTGGTGGTATCCTTTGAACCAGAAAACATTTTATTTTGATGAAGGCCAGTTTACCTATTTTTCCTTTATTATGCTTTCGGTGTCACAGCTAAGAAACCATTGCCTAATTCAGAGTCACAAAATTTAAGCCTGTGTTTTTTTCTGAAAGTTTTAGTTTTAGCTGTTACATTCAGGTGTTTGGTTCATTTTGAGTTAATTTTTGTATGTGGTGTGAGGTTGGAGGCCAAGCTTCATTCTTTTGTATGTAGATACCAGTTTGCCTCACAACATTTGTTGAAAGTCTGTTTTTCCTTTGAATTGTCTTGGCACCTAAAGGACTTCTGTAATCTGACTTTGCTTATTTCTCAGTCTTCTCTTCATGTACCTATTCATACCACTCAACTTTGCAGTTCCTTGACTATACCATGTTTTTTCATTCCTCTCTTTCTACTTGCTATCTTCTGCAAAGAATCACTCTTTCATCTCCCCCTTTCCCTCTCTTGAATCTTGAAGATTTCCCTAAAGTGCCATATTTTTACCTGAAGTTTTTTCCAGTACTCTCTTCTCCCCATCCCTAGGCAGAAGGGGTAACTTTCCTGTCAGTTGTATAGGTGCCTTGTACCTGTGCCTACTGTAGCATTCATGACAGTTTGGTAATCTTCTCCTCATGGGTTTTTATCTTTGGTCCCAGCATTTAACACTGTGTCTGCCATATAGTAGATATTTTTTGAATGAATGTGACAAATGTTAGAGTTTTTAATAAAGCTCATTTTATTCCATTTTTACATCCTGAGATTATGTTCTTCTACTCTTTTAGTGTTGAAATAGTCTTTTATAAAGTGACACAGTAGGAGATNAGAGGGCATCTCTCATATTTATTGATCAAATGGTTGTTAACAACAATAAAATTCAGTATAGGGGGGTCAATGCTCAATGTACAATCATTAATCCATCTCAAGCCTAATTGGAGAAGCGATAGTTTTAAATGGCATGACATTTAATAGGTAGGTAATAATAGCTAATAGATAATATTTATTGAATATGCTACATGGCAGTCACTGTTCTTAATAAGTTACACTCCTTTCTTCTTAATTTCTGTTATTTCTGGCCCTTTGTGCAAGCAGTCAGAAGGAACAGCTCCCAGTGCGTCATCCACTGTCGGCTCTGCAGTGAGAGCCTGTGGGCAGCAGCAGGTGTGTGTGAGCCAGGCTGCTGTGGGTGCCTGCAAGGCTGCCGCTCCCTCTGCCGTCGGCGCCACGTCCCTGGTGTCCACACCAAGCCCTGTTTCGGGGAAAGCCACAGTATCAGGTCAGTTGTATCATCATGATTTTATTTTTCTCTCCCTTCTTTGGGCTAGAATATTTTTGGAAGGTCTTAAACAATATTTTGTAAAATTAATTGTTAAAAATAATTTACTCAGCAACATTTTCCATGTGGCTAGTTTTTAGATAAATTATTCTTATTTAAAATTTACATGTAAATTTTTAAGTCTAAGATGGTTTTATGGATTGAATAATAATTTTTAAATGATATAGTAAAAGAGCAGCCATCTGGAACTCTCTTGGGTATTTTAGCTGCTTTCATGATATAATTTTGTGAAGTGTAGAGAGTTTGCTCTCCTTAAAGAACCAGTTCCTTTTTTTATCATCAGTTTTGAGTGGAACTCATTATAAAACATCATACATCTCTTTGCTTTTGTAAACAAAGTATATAAAATATAAATTAGCCTTGATGATCCAATTCATGATTCATGCACCTATTCATACCACTCAACTTTGCAGTTCCTTGACTATACCATGTTCTTTCATTCCTCTTTCTACTTGCTAACTTCAAAAACCTTAGTTATTGTAAGTAGTGGTAGAGTGATGTACTTGAAGTCTGGTGACATGTATCGTACCTTTGTGCCCATATTAAATGTCTCCAGGAAAGAGTGCCTTTTATTTCTTTGGGTTACATAGAGCACAAATCCTGGAACTGGATCACTTTAATTAAAACAACTTGCTTCAGTTTCCTCTTCTGTAAAATGAGGTTGATGATAACACCTACCTCATAAAGTTGACAGGATTAAATGAGTTAATACAGAAGTGCTCAGTGTACTGTCTGATACATATAGCCATTTTGTAAATAATTGCTATTATTAGCATTTCTAGTGTCTTCGTTGTCGTTAGTCCACATTCCCTTATCTGCAATTCTAAAATCCCAAATGCTCTGAAAAGCAAAGGTGTTTTGTTATGTTTTTGCTTTTTGTTTTCATAACTAATTTTAAGGTGAAGTGTGACCTCCATTGGCAGGCCATATATACTACTTAATATGAGTATTTGCCTTTTTGCTGCAGAAATATTAATGTGTTTGATTATATCATGCTGTCACAGATGCCAGGGGACTGATATAATATACATCATTGCTTCTCAGAGTTGGAAAATTGATTTTGATTTTCTACAATCCAATTCAAATATTTCTGTAGAAGTAATAAAAATATGACAGCAATGCCAAACTGTTACAGAAGTTTCTGAACACTCTTAATTTCTATATTGCTTTGTTGCAGATTGATACTAGTGTACCGGCTGGTACTGATATACAGGAACAGTTGAGTACCACTGATGTATATGTCCACACACACACACACACACACACACACACACACACACACACAAGTACCTTAGTATCTTTGGATGAAAGATTGTAGATATTGCTATTGTTCTTACTGTTGTTATTATCCCTATGTTCTGTACCTGACTCCAAAGCAAGCCCCTGTGTCTTACTTCACTTTTGAGTTAGAGTCCAACAGATTAATGCTGGCATATTTTTTCCCTTGACTTCCACCTCTCAGTTATAACTGACTAACTCCTAGTTTAGGGAGTACTTGTCCTCTACCAACACTGTGTAAGGACTGGAGTAGAAATTGGAGAAATGGAAGAAATTACTATTGTAAGAAATGGATGTCCTCCCAGCTCTATTTTTAAGTGATTAACTAGGAATGAAAGAAGTTGCCCTGCTTTAAGTTCTAGTTTTCTAAGTTGCTGCCAATCAGTTTTTTCTTTATCATGTTTTCATAAAAGAATCAAACTATTTCCTGCTGACCATTAATTCTATGTGTGTATGGACTATTTTTTTTTTTGAGGTATAACCATTCAATTTAATTAAATTTTTTGTATGCTTTATAAACGGTTATGAACATAGTCCCTCTTACGTCTGGAACAGAGTGAGCAAGGGAAAGAGTACTGGAAAGTAAAGCCAGAGTGGTGGGGGCCAAATGACCCCAGGCCTTTGTAGGTCATTGTAAGAACTTTGACTTTTACTCCAAGGAAAGTCATTGGAGGGTTTTAAGCTATAGAGTAACATGATGTGCCTTACCTTTTAACAGGATCACTGGCTGCAGCACTTAGACTAAACTTTGGGGCACAAGGTGGAAGCAGGAAACAGACTAAGAAGTAGACACTAAGAAAGAAAATTCAATGATGTATCAGGGAGCCCCAGCAACATCAGATCAAAGGAGTTCCAGAAAGAAAACAGAAAATAGTGGGAAGGAAATGATCCAAGAAATGAAACTATTTATCCCAGAATTGAAGGATATGAACTTCCAGGTTCAGAAGCCACAGTGTCCAGCACAGTGAATGAAAAATGGTTTATGTGGAGGCACAGTTTGTTCATGAGCAGAACACCAGGGACAAAGAGAAGATCTCAAAAGCTATCAGAAAAAGAAATAGAAAAGTTCAGAAATTATATTATCATTGGGCTTCTCTGTAGCTGGGAGCTAGAATACTGCTTTTCAGAATGCCAGGGGAAAATTTCAGTTAAGAATTCTGTATTCAACCAGATCATTACCGAGTGAAGGTAAAAATATTTTCTGACAGGCAGTTTCAAGTGTATTTCCTATGTGTCCTGTCTCAAGGCATTATTAAAATACGTTTTACCAGAGTAAGGAGGTGTAGACCAAGAAAGAGGAAGAAAACAGGATCCAGCATAGAAGGAAGGCAGAGGGAATTCGGAGGGTAACGACAAAGGAAGTCCCCAGGAGGAGGGCTCAGCAGCAGGCATAGAAAGCAAATAGAGGTCAGAGAGCTCCAGGAAGGACCTCTCTCAGAGAAAGTGGAACTGTCAATTATTTAGGAGATTTGACTGGGTAGACGATTGTATTAAGGGTGGTTTATAGTGTTTCTGAATGAGGTGGGAAGGCTTAGAAGGATATTGAAAGAACTAAGCAAATGATAAAGGAGGAAACTGTTAATCCAGAAAATAAGCCAGAATCACAGTATCATGGTATTCTTTGGATCAATAGAGAAAAATGCTGGAATGCAGGAAAGAGAGTAAAAGTGCTTTACAAGGCTTATCCACCCTAGTAGCAAGTCTGTATGTAACACCACTGTCCCATTGGAATGAATCAAGGCCCATGGTATACACATTCTCCTAAAAATACTGAGATAAGTACTAAAAGGAAGGACCAAAAGGGTTAAAAGTGGATGATACTGCGGAACTAGATGAGGATAGGGAGGTGTGGAGCAAAAAATGGCTAGTTTGAGCTACAAAGCTTTTAGCACTTCTTTTTCACTGATAAGCATGTAAAATTTTGATGAAAATATGGAAAAAAACCAGGTCGTTGTACTGTCCAAGGGCACATCTCAGTAAGTGCTTACTGCTTGACTCATGTAACACTCATCTATTCCAAAGAAAGATTTTCTTGTTTATTTAGGCTTTGTTTCAGAAAGTACTTAAGATTATTCCTTTCATTAACCCAAACCAACTGCTTTCCATTGCCTCAAAGTGTCTTTAGCCTCTGATGCTGTTTTTAAGTAGTAGTTATGTAACAACAGGTATTTGTGTTGTGTCTTGTGTTAAATCAAAGCCCTTTTTCATTTTTTACTGGCCCCCTGCCTAAGATAGTTTCATAATTGAAAGGGATTATGGAAATTACCTTTAAGGAGAAGTGGGAGAGGATGACCGTTTCTAAAATGATAAGTGCAGAATATCTGATGTTTGAAAAATAAGGGCTGCAGTGAGATAGAAAATTGTAATGTATGGTGAGTAAATAAATTGAAGTATTAGATTTATAGGGATTTTATCTGGGACCAGATAAACTGGGACCAGATAAAATGGACTCTGAATGCTTTGAAACTAATTTTGGAAACATTCTCTAGGCAGTGAGGAGCCAGAAAAGGTTTCTGAGTAGGAAAACAATAATTACCTAAATCAAAATACAAAATTTTATATCCACTATGTATGTAACACAGCTATATAGAAAACGAACGTGGAAAAGAACTGTCTCAAAATGTTAATATTGATTGGCTCTGCAGTAGGTCATCGGGTGACCTCTTTTCTATTCTGTTTTTCCAAAAATTTATCATTTTATGATTGTGGGGTAAAAATAAATCATTATTGTCACATCATTTCATTGTGAAATCTGCTGTAACCATTGCCTCATGTGTCCATCTCTTTGTTTATTGAAAGGGTAAGTGTCCTAAGAACTTCTTCCTATGAGAAAATACCAATGTTAAAGGGAACAGGACCTTTAAGGAAGCACCTGATCATCAGCTTGGCCTTATCTTCCAACTTCTTTTAGGATTGTTAAAGATTCACTCCAGTCAGTCCAGTCCCCAGCAGGCTGTACTGACAATCCCCAGCCAGCTCAAGCCACTCAGTGTAAATGCATCTGGAGGTGTGCAGACTATACTCATGCCAGTGAATAAAGGTCAGTCCTGCCCCCATCCCTCTCCCGGGTTGTGGCTGTCTCCAGGTCTGCCGTGGGGGGCGAGCCCACGTTCTGTCGGCCGGCAGCCGCTCCTCCCTGGTGCAGCCTCCTTAACTGTTGCCAGACCCCTGGCACCTTGAACTCTAAGCATCAACTCTAGGACTGAGAGGAAAATCCAGATTATTCATTGGCTCCTAAATAGCTGTCCACTTCTAAGTTGAGGAGACGGGGCACATTTTAAGCCATTATGAGAGCTCTGGTTAATTGGAGCTTTATTTTCTTAGTGACAAGCTCCCATTTCCACAGTTGAGTAGCTCAGTTACTCTGGTACTAAGAGTAAACAGCCCACCTTATCAAATCACGGTATTAAAAAGGTCATTACCATTTCTCTTGTACTGAAATTCTTTTTGTGCTGTCAGTCTAACATGGGGCTGTCTCCTGGGAGTTAGATCATCCTAATTAAAATACTTTCTATAGCTCTTATATCCTCTCTCCCTCTTTTGCCTGTTAGTGGTTCAGTCATTTTCTACCAACAAATCACCTACCATTCTGCCTGTAGCTGCCCCAACTCCAGTCGTCCCCAGCCCTGCTCCAGCTACTGTTACGAAAGGTATGTTGTTTCTCACAGTGTTTTTGCCCAGAAGTTTTATGCAGGACATTACTGCAATCTGAGTCCCTTGAATTTTCAGCATCTGTGAATCAGTCACTCCAGAAATATGTACTGTGTTTGTGTAGTAGACTTGACATTGAGGGAAATACAAAGATGTATAAAGCCTCACTCTGCCCTCCAAGAACGTAAAGTCAGGTTGGCGAGAGTGGCAGTGGACAGCAGATAATGACTCATAAAGGCAGGATGAGTGATCTGGAAAATGAATGCTGAAATATTTCAGTCTAGGATGTCTGGTCAGGGTTGACGGGGGCCTGGGGGGGAGATAGGATTTATGAGATTTGGATTATAATCTGGATTTTAACAGAGTGAATGAAGCATTTTTATCTGTGGAGAGGTCAAGGGGCATGCCAGATTAAGGAAACAGTAGAAGCAAAGACTCAGAGTGCTTGTTCGGGGAAGTAGATCAACTAGTGGAACTCATCCAGGGTGTACAGTATGGTAAAGGAGGTTTAGGTAGGGCCAGACTTTGGCAAGCTGGCAGTGGGGACATTTCTGACATTTCTGTTTATTTAGGCTTTGTTTCAGAGAGTACTTTAGATTATTCCTTTCCTTAACCCAAACCAGCTGCTTTACAGTACCTTAAAGTGTCTGATGATTGAATAGATTGAGGTACTGCAATGGATTAGAGCAACATATTTTGACATCTATGTAACATCTACAATAATAGTGATTACCATATGGTAACAGGCCAAAGTATGCCAGGCCCTATGCTAGCTGCTCTCTCTATATCTCTAATTATGACAGTACTTCAGGGTAGCTGTTATGCCCATTTTGCAAATGAGGAAACTGAAGTTTGGAGATACTGAGTCTATATTCCAAGATCTAGAAATCTAGAAAGCATGCAGTTGGAATTTGAAACACATCTGCTTTTCAGGCATTCCAGGATCTCTCCTAATAGTCTTGAGAAGAAGTGGATTTGTAACTTAGAGCCTGACCCTCTAATGCAGGGCTTGGCCAGCTACCATCTGCTCCCTGTTTCTGAGTAAAGCTGCAGGGGCACCAGTGATGCCTGTCTGTTCACACGTTGTCTGGGGTATGCTGCAGCCTCAGAGTGGAGTGGTTCCAGCTGAGATAGGACCCACAGCTCCTAAACTACTTCTTTTGCTAGGGAAAGTTTGCCAACCCCTGATCAAAAGAGACCTGATGAAAGAATTGGTATTAATCTAGACCGGCATTTCTGATCAGTAGTAGGTATGTGTCATAGGCCTTCCTCATATAGATTCTGATTCCGTTAATTTTAGACTGGAGCCAGAGTATCTCTGTTTTGATTTTAATAGAGGTAAAGTTTTGAATAGTGAAATGCAAAGATATTAAGTGTGCCATTTGATGAGTTTGGGTAAATGTATAAACCATGTAACCAATATTCTATTTAAGATAGAGAAATTTCCATCACCATGTGCCTCTTCCATCCAGTCAGTCTGTTTCTGGTCCCTGTAGCAACGACTCCTGCTTTCTATTGTGATTTGTCATGTCTGTTTCTTGACTATATGAATGGAAGCATGGGCATTCTTTTGTGTCTGGTTTCATTCACTCACCATAGTGTATTTGATATTCATCCATATTGTTGCTGAATAGTATTCCACATTGTAGTAATATACCATAATGAATCCTTTCTCCTGTTGGTGGGTTTTTAAGGGTTGTTTCCTGCTTGGGGCAATTATGGACAAATCTTTGAAAGCATATATTTCCATTTCTCTAATAGAATAGCTGTCTCAACTTGCAAATGCTGACTAACTCTGCGATTGTGTGCCAGATTAAAGAAAGTGTATTTGCACCTGGAGAGCTGGAGTATCTGAACTTTTTTGAGGACTTCCTTCTGTTTCTTGAAGTCTTGGAATCCCTAGGGGCTGGAGGGATATGTATTGCTAATATGTATCACTAATAATAGTGAAATTGTTAGCAAGGTCATTCAATACAAGTCAATATACATAGAAAAATCATTTTCATTTCTAGGTAGAAAGTAAATGCTAACAACCTACTGAACATTTCTGAGAGAAATACAAAAGGCCTAAAGAAATGGAAGGATATGCCATTATTAATATAATAAATTATAGATTATAAATATAAAAAGTTAAATTAGTTACCAGAAGACCTGATGTATTATCAGTTCTCCCCCAGAAAGTGACATGCAGATTCAATTCAGTCCCAGACAGAATCCCTACAGGGTTTTTGTGTGTACATAGAAATTGATAAGCTAAGACTGAAATGTACATAGAAATAGCAAAGGCCTAGAATAGCTGAGGCAGTCATAAAAAAACAAAAAGCTGGGTACTTGGACATTAGATATATATACTACAAAGCTTCAGTAATTGAGATTGTGTGGTATTGGTTCAAGAATAGATAGAACAATGAACTAGAGAAGGCCCCAGAAATATATTCACTTGTATATAGTCACCTGATTTATGATAAATTCAGTAGGGTAAGAATGTTCTTTTCAATAAGTAGTGCTGGGTTAATTGGCTATATCCATTTGGGGCATTTGGGAAAACAATGAACCTTGGCCCCTACCTTATACCATAAAAAAAATTAATTTGAGTCAGGTTATAGACTTAAATGTGGAAGGTGGAACAATAAAGCTTCTAGAAGAGAATACAAGAATGTCTTCATGACCTTGGGCAAATATACTTTGTAAACAGAACACACAAGAAAACTAGCCATAAAAGAAAAGATTGGTAAGTCAGACTATTAACACTGGGAACCTCAGTTCATCAGAGGGACACAGTTAAAATCAAAAGCCACATACTCAAGATATTTGCAATGGATATATCTAACGAAGGAGTTGTATCCATATATGACTGGATATGTGTATGGGAGGACCATGCACAGACCTTCTAAAATTCAATATGAGAAAGACTGACACTAATTTTTTTTAAAGAGCAAAAGGTGTCAACAGTCGCTTCACGAAGAGGATATCCAGAGTTCATAAGGATATGAAAGGTGGTTCAGCCTCGTTAGCCATGGAGGAAATGCAGATTTCACCACAGTGAAATATTGTTCTATCACCAAAATTAAAACTAGCAATACCAAGTGTTGACAAGGATGTGACACAAATGCAGCTCACCTACACTGCTGGTGGGACATAAATTGATATAATCACTTTGGAAAGCAGTTTGACGGTTTCTCATAAAGTTAAATATACATCTGTCTTGTGTTCCACAGATATACTTTTAGGAAAGGCACACATAAGCCCAGCAAAAGACACAGATGAGAATATCCATTGCATTGTTACTTTTAATAGCCAGAAAGATCCTGATGCAAAAGAGTATGTGCAGTATGATTCCAGTTATATGAAGTTCAAAGTGGACAAAAGGTGCTTATCTTTGGCAGGGAGGAACTGCCAAAAGCATAAGGAGCCTTGTTGAAGACTGGATATACCCTGTGTCTTGATTGGAATGGTAGGCACCCAGGTGTACACGTAGGTAAAATTTATCTAATGTATACTTCATATTTGTGCATTTTACAAGGTTATGCATCTATAGAAAGGAGGTGGAGATGTATTAGTAGATCTCATTTGTAGACACCTGAGATACAGGAAACTACTGAAGGATGTTGAGTAGGGAAGTGACACTAAAAAGGTTGTTTAGGAAAATTTTCTGTGCTGATGTATAAGGTGGGTTTTAAGGGGAAGAGGTTGAAGGCAAGACTGCTGATGCAGAAGCAGGAAGTGTATGGCCTTGGATTTTTTGATTAGAGAAGACTAGAAGTGGAGGAGGACACGTGCTCCTGAGACACTGCTGGTTTCCCTCAGTGGACTGGTGGTAGTAAGAGTGTGAGTTACTAATGTGAATAGCTTGGATACTGCCGAACAGCAGATCTGATTTTTGCTTTCCACCTTGTGTCAGAACACCAAGATAATGCTGAAAGTGCACAAACTTAGCTGGAGAGATGATAGCCAAAAGGATCTTAGAACTTAGAGCAGGCCAGCATTGTATTTTAATGTGGCACTGTTCAGTTGTGCGTGTGCGTGTGTGTGTGTGTGTGTGTGTGTGTGAGAGAGAGAGAGAGAGAGAGTGGGATCTCACAGTAATGTGGTTGGCCCTTTAATGTCTAAAAAGCCATTTTATTGCCCTCTTTGTCCCGAGCCTGGAGTTACTCCCCCTGAAAGCCAGCCTAACAGTTTTCCCTTGTCTGCTGACCCTGTGATGAGAGGCGTCCTCTCAGTCCCCCGGCTGTGACCCTCAGCAGCTGGCGTGGCAGTTTGCTCACTGGGCTTCAGTGGAAGAGCTGTTGTTTCTGCCCTCACGTGTCCTTCCGTCATGAGCCCTAACAGCTCTTTCTTTGTTGCCCTTCTCTTATAGTGAAGACTGAACCAGAAACACCTGGGCCAAGCTGCCTCTCTCAGGAGGGTCAGCCAGCAGTGAAAACAGAAGAAAGCTCTGAGCTAGGAAACTACGTCATTAAGTAATGATTTCAGTCCTTTCTAATTGAGTTGTGCTTTCGGTGTTTTCGTGATGCTTTTTAAAAACCAAACCTGTGACAGCTGAGTATGTATAGAGCTGTGTGTATATAGAGTTAAGCCCCTTGATGGGTGGAAACTTTCCTCTCTGTGTGCAGTGAATACATATTACCACTTGATGTACAGCTCCAAGTCTCCATTTAACACGTTGATGTGACCTAGGGAGGCACATGATTTAAGGCCTCAGAAGCCTCAGGGGAAATTGCAGATCTCCCTCCCACTGAGTTTTCCAGTGTGTACTTTCTCTGCTGAATCTTTGGGTGTGAAATTTCTCATGATGTGTGTATACATTTTGTGGCTGAGTATCCACACCCCTAATATTAAACAGCCGCCTTTTCATGGGCCATACACACTGATTGCTTCTTCTAAAAATACTTTGTGAGATTTTCTAGTTTCCAGATTGGGAACCCACCTCTGACCATGTTTTGAAGTATCTCAGACAACTGAGGACAATAGAAACTTGGCCACTTTCACATGGTGATAGCATGAACTGTAATAACCCCCAGATTGGCATTTGCATGAAAAGAGTTTTTTTGCTCCAGTGACTGTCAGTCACTCTGCCAAAAGATTATTTAGCTATTTAATTTAGAAATATAAACAAAATGTTTGTGATATTTGCCAAATTTGCCATTCCTGTGGTCTCATTTGTTTATTTAGTCTTTGATTTTTTAAGCATAGAATGTTCTTTGTTTATAAAGAAGGCTATCTATGGACAGAAAGATATGCCAATATAATTGGCTTAAGTTTTAATTCCCTTTGGACAGAAGGAATATATATATAAGTGTGTGTGTGTGTGTGTGTGTGGTGGCTAGAAACTGCTATGTGTATTTACTACCTTAATTTTCTTTCGTGTGTGTGTGTGTGTGTGTGTGTGGTGGCGGCGGCTAGAAACTGCTATGTGTATTTACTACCTTAATTTTCTTTCCTTTTGTCCATCTCAGGATAGACCATTTAGAGACTATCCAGCAACTCCTAACAGCAGTAGTGAAGAAGATCCCATTAATTACTGCAAAAAGTAAGATAATTATGCTGACTATGCAGATGCATTTATTGAAAGCTGTAAACTACTTGGAATATTCAGTTTAAATCACTTGGTATTGTACAAGTAGTGACCCTGGCATCTTACTACACTGATGGACAGTGACCGCAATGGGGTGTGGGGGGACACAATAACATGGGTGAATGTAGCAACCAAATTGTTTTTCTTGTGAAACCTTCATAGGAATGTATATCAATGATACCTTAATAATAAAAAAAAAATCACTTGGTATTGTAAATTAATACTGATGTGGTAGTTATCTTAGGAGGTTTTAACTACAACTGTAGCTCCTTTGCAGGGTTTTAGAATTCACAATATCTTGGTCATCCCATTAGTCTTCTACTGTTTTCACTGTGATCTGTAGAAGGAATGTCTTACATTTATTGTTGTATGAAACTTATAAATGTATATAATTAAAACCATTAGTTTTTAATATTTAGTTATAAGGAAAGAAATTAGCATTTGCCTACGATGTACCAGACCGTGCCGGCTCAGTACATTTACTGTCTTATTTAATCATAATCAACTGTGGAATAGGTGATGTCATCTCGATTTTATAGATGAGAAAACTAAGAATAAGCAAGATTCAGTACTGTGCTCGGGAGCACTAGCTCTGGGTGGTGAGGCAGGACACGAACCAGGTTCTGTCTGCCTCCAAAGCCATTAGTCTTTGATCTAATGCTCGCTGTCACTCGCTCTGTAGAAATGCATGCTTATCAAGACCTCCAACGGGGGAATCTGCTCTGTTGCTGCCAGTGGTAGCAAAGCTGAACAACTTCTCAGCCCCAGTTGTTCTGACGGAATCAACAGCCCTCCGGAGAGAACAGACATCCTGTGGGCAGTAGGAGTATGCTCTAGCAATACTCCAGCCCGTGGCCCTGCAGAGAGAGGGCATGAAGAGATTCCCATACCACGTTCGTGGGAGTAGGGGAACAATAGGCCAGTACGGACTACCCTGCTTATTTTTTTCCTACTGTAATAGTGAAGAAATTACTTCATTTTTTCTTAGTTGAAGCTTGAAGGGTCAGTTTGAGGCAGTACCAAGTAACATTTCAATGATACTTACCTAGTGCAGCAGAAAAAAATTCAAAAATTTCTTTTGTAAAAATTTTAGAAACAAATACAGAATATTAGAGCTAGAAGGCAGTTCAGAAACCATCTTTACCAACAGAATCATTTTACAGATAAGAAAACAAGCCCAAAGAGGTATGTAGGCTGCCTAGGGCTGCTTAGTGACTTAACGGCAGGGCCAGAGCTAGATCTCAGGTCTCCTGCAAATAGAGGAGTGCCTGCCACATATTTTAATAGTTAATATACTGCCAAAGAAGCTGATTTCCCAAGGAGGGGGTGGTTTTGAGTACACATGGATGAGGTGTCTTTTCTTCTAAGGTTAAGCCCTTCTGTGTTATGCTGCATTTGACCCTGCCCAGTGAGGAACATGTATTCAATAAGAGGTCCAAAGAAACTTTTGGACATGCCTCCAGCAAAGGAGATTGAATTTAAACCATGACAGCTTTATTCATAGTTTGCCGGCTGTGTGCCTTTTAGGTGAAGATGCCAGCTGTTTCTCTGCCAAGTCTGTGGAGCAGTATTATGGCTGGAACATCGGGAAAAGGAGAGCCGCTGAGGTAATTACACATCCACCCATTTGGTGTGCAGGCCCCCACTGAGCGTGTGGGGGGAAAATAACCAGAACATGTGTGCATTCTGGCTGCTTCTACAAACCTTGTTACACCGAGCAATGACAAGATCTGCAGCGTATTTTGTTAGAACTTTCTCCTCATGAAAAGTCTCATCAAAGACTACAGCTAGCCTTTGAAAGGTCTTTCTTTCCTGCATTGGTAAAAATGTCTAAAAAATTTTTATGCATTTCAGTATATTAAAATTAAATGGAGTATTTGTTGAGAGCTTGCTATGTGGCTCCTGTGCTGAAACAGTAGGATGATAAGAGGAAATAGCATGTAAAGAGGTGTGCCTAGGAGGCTGTGAGGTCAGTGTGACTGGTGTAGGGAAGGTAGAGGTCATGATGGAGACCAAGGTTAAAAACCTTACAGGCCAGACCTAAGGGTTTCTGATTTATTTTATCAGCATTAGATAGAAGTTGGTTTACTTTTTTTTTAAACCAAGGAATGACTCAATCAGATTTTTTCTTAGAAAAAAATGATTTTAAGAAGTTATGATAATACAATTTGGTGATTGTTAAAACACACTGCTAAGTTGAGGAATTTGATTATGGTTCCAAAATAAATTTTTTTAAGTGGCAAAGAGCAATGACAATGCGAAAAGTCTTACAAGAAATATTGGACAAGAATCCAAGATTTCACCACCTGACTCCCCTTAAAACCAAGCACATTGCTCACTGGTGTCGCTGCCATGGCTATACTCCTCCTGATCCTGAGAGCCTGCGAAGTGACGGGGATTCTATTGAGGATGTGTTGACCCAGATCGACAGCGAGCCAGGTGAGCCTCCGGGCAGCCATGCTGAGCACCGCGGGCAGCCCACAGGTGCTTCCATGGAGCACGCACTCATCTCTTCAGCCTCCTCGGCCCTCAGACCCCTTCACCCCAAGAGCTTTCAGTGCTCTGTCCTTCGGCTGAGGTGAAGCACCCTGAGGATCTGAGTTGTCCTGGACAACGGGAGCCTTTGCTCACCTCTGGCCATGTGTCCCACTCCCAGTACAGTCCCTACAGAACCATCTGTGCCCAAGTGTTCCATAGCCAGAATGTTCCTGCCCACGCCATGCCATAAGCACACACTGTTCATCCCGGGGTCCCCATGCTCAGCAGCAGGTAGAAGTGACTTCTCTTGTGACCTTATAACTGCCCATAGCCCAGTCTGTCCAGTCTCCTTAAAGATGGGGGCGCTGTTTTCTTTGTTACTTTACTAGCCAGGAAGTGTAGTTCTTACTGTTGGAGGCACAGAGGTAAACAACTAATAATGTTGCAGATAAAATGATTTGTTTTATGACAGACTCAAACAGTTGTTCTGTATGGGGGAGGAGGCAGGGTATAAATGATATATGGGAAGAAGAATATTTTGAGTTTCACTTTAAAGAATAAGGAGGATTGTTTTCTCCTCCCAACCCCACATGTATGTATGTATGTATGTATTTATTTATGAATGACATAATTTTTTATAATGTGTGTATATATATATATTTTTAATTGAAGTATTGTTGATATACAATCTTACATTGGTTTCAAATATACAACACAGTGGTTCAGCAGTTACCCATATTATTAAATCCTCAGCCCCACTAGTACAGTTACTATGAGCATAGGAAAATGTTATGGGATCATTAACTATATTCTCCATGCTATACTACCATCCCTATGACTAACTTATATTATGATTGAGAATTTTTATGCCCCTTTATCCGCATTCCTCCTCCCTACACACCCACCCCAACTCCTCCCCCATGGTGACCATCAGTCACTTCTGAGAAGCAGCCAGAACTGGACTCTCTGCCACCAGCCTGCAGGGTGCCCTTCATTGTGTCTTGTACCTGGTCTGGACCTCACTTACTCATCCATAAAGTGGAAGGAATGGACTAGAAGATTTCCAGAGAACAAAAAGTTCTAATACTCTTTGTTAGGCTTTGTGTAAATTAACTTATTAAGGACTGGATGCACAGTGTGTACTAAAATGTTAACATTGCTTATCTCTAAGCAGTGAGAAATGGGTGATTTTTATTTTCTTCACCGTGCATTTCTGAATTTTCCAGATTTAAAATATGAAAAAAATCAGTTTAATCATTAATATTTGGGGGTTGGGGAGATGGCCTAGTTTTTTTGGTGGCCTAAGTCAGAATCATGTACTATTTTGTCTTAGATAGCAGTTATATCACATATATTCTCAGGTGCCTGTCTCTGTGCTTGTCTACCTTGTGAATTACTAGTTCTAATAATTACAGATCCATAGAATTTTAGAACCAGAGAAGGTTAGCTCCCATAATACTTACCTCCTCCTCTGGGTCTCAGACCAGCCTTGTGGAGATGGGTAGCTGTCTTCTGTCACCACAGCTGTCATAAGGCTGCTGACCTCCCATTTAGAGTACCCGTCGTCATTCTCTTCTGCTGACAACCTCTGCCAGAAGCTGGAGGACCTGCAGCAGTTTCAGAAAAGAGAGCCAGAGAACGAGGAGGAGGTGGATATCCTCAACCTTCCAGAGTCATTAAAGATAAACATCAAAAAGGAACAGGAAGAGAAACCAGAAGAAGTGAAACTCTACTTGCCTCCAACACCAGGGTCTGAATTTATTGACAACATCACACAGAAGGTAGGGGGCTGTGGCCTGAGGCATTGCCAGGTCACAGACCAGGTGTGGGGTGCTAGGACATCCAGCCTCATCAGCTGCCACCGGACTTTTCTGTGTGATTTACTAAATGCATGGTGAGGCCGGGGTGTGCTCTCTGGGCAGCCCCTTCCCACACTGAGGCCTCTGAAGGGTCATTACCTGTATGTGAAAGGTTGCTGGTTGGATATGGGATTGAGGCAAAGAAAGCTGGTATAGTCAAGTTTACTGGCCGTCTCTTTTCTGTTTGCCCCAGTAGCAGCACCTTTCCCTCATGAGGCATGTCATGGTATGTCCGGGTTGCCCTTCGGAGGCGAGCTTTCCCTGCCTAACATGGACGGTTACAGCTCCGAGCACCCACCTGGAGGGTGGGTGGCATGCACAGCCTTCGTAGTGCAGGAGAGAATATTTGCCCGCCCCTGATGCAGTGGGCGCTGGTCAGCATCCGCCCTCCGGCACAGCTGTTTAGGACTCAAAGAGACAGACAGTGCTTGTCTTTCGTGAGGGAGGAGAGAAAGAGGGGCAAGATGCAGTCTGCAAGTACATCTGCATCATCTTAGCAAACAGGCCCTTGGAGGCTGAGTCCAGGCTTTCCAGTGTGATAATCCCATGATTAGAATTCATGGCAAATCCTAACTATGTTTTCCCATTGAAAGGGGCTTTGGGGGAAAAAGCAGGATTATAATAGCACTTATTACAATCACCTGGAGACACAGGGAAATAGGATAACATGTTTCTCCAGTTGTTACATTCTGGGTTTCTTCCCCCTGAGTTTTGTCTAGAATGTTTGCAGAGTCTGTCTTCTAGCTGGACATCTTTCTGGGTATCAGAGAAGAGTGCTTGTTTGGAGAGAGACTGTATTTAGTATAGAAATAGGAACAAATGGCTTTCTTGCTGCTTTACCAGATCGGAATCACCCTGCAGCCCGTGGCACTTCACAAGAATGTGTATGCGTCAGTGGTGGAGGACATGGTTTTGAAGGTGGGTGTCTGCTGTCAGAAGAGGGTCTGTGAGTGGCCATCGGGCTGAATCTCTGCCGGGCAGTCTGGATCGCAGGCTGTTTTGAGGATAGAAACAGAAAAGAGATGACACGTTTTAAGATTTCTCTTTCAGGTTTAGTTTTCTCTTTCGCTTTTTTTTTTTTTTTTTTTTGCTTCGGATTTTTAAACGATCTAACTCATGGCTCCTCTGAGTGTGGAAGCACCTGTAAGAAGGGTTTCGGTGCTGATAATCACTCAGATGATATTTTTTAGTGCCTTTTTAAGTACTCTGTGGTGAGGGTGTTCTCACTGCCGTAGGAGGTGACAAGAGCCTTGGGTTTTCTCCATGGGGCACTTGCCCCATCCCTGCGGAGAGGGTGACAGAACCAGCCTCCTTACCCAGCCTGATCCTGGCTTAGCAATTCCTGTCCTGGTGGGTCACCGCCACTAGTAGATAACCCTCACCTGTTTTTCCTTGAACACGGTGATCAGTGAAAATTAGCTCCATTCATAATTACTCTGAATCATGGCCTTCACTCATTGTGGCCTATTATTTAGACCTTTAATTTTTCCTTAAGGACTTTTGATCCTTGGATGCAACTGTTTCCCAAGTTTAGGGTAGGAGACGGTGTCCAATGCACCCCTTCTCACTAGCAAGCAGATGGCTGTTTTGGAGAGTAACAGCGTCTTCTGTTGCAGGCTACAGAGCAGCTGGTGAGTGACATCCTGAGACAGGCTTTGGCGGTTGGATACCAGACAGCGTCTCACAACAGGTACTCTTGTTTCTTTAGTAGGTGATATGAGGCTTATAGATCCTTCCTGACAGTTTAGTTGCCCATCAAGATGTTTTGTCCTTATGTCAGTCCAATAGGAGATGGGGAGGGGTCAGTGCTTAGGACATTCTCAGAGCCGAATGGAGTCAAGGGCCTGCTTGGTCATTCTGAGAGTATCTCTTGGTTATGAAAGCTGCTCAGCTTTGTTCAGAGGTATGTGTTTTCCCAATCACTACTTCAGAGACACTGTTCAGTAGGACTCTGTCATGTACAGGGCTGAACAAATACCAGCTCTTTGCAATTAAAGCTCCTCACAGTGTTCACTATGTGTCAGCCCTTGGGGCCGGGCCTCACGCATGTCACCTAATGTGTTCTGCACTGCAGCACTCTTACGCCCTTCTCAGAAATCAGGGAGCTGGGCACTGACAGGTAGTCCTACCAGCTTTCCCAGCACATACATGGTACAACCTAGATCGAGACTCAGATCTCATTGGCTCTGAAGCCCACAGGCTCCCTGCTGCTGTCAGCTGCATCTCTAATTATTGACTGGAACACTGAAGTTTGCTCCTTCCCTAGTCCTGAAGAATGGTGGATGGGCCTCTCTTCCACATCCTGGCATTCCTGTCAGAGAAAACAAATGTTTTATCCCGTTGTACTTAAAGCCTGTAACAAAGTTCCTCGGATGTGAAGAGGCCTGAATCCGAGGAGCATTAGGTCAGACGTCACAGGACGGCGACACGGTGGGCGGCGGAGAAGAGATCTCTGAGACGCCGGAGGGAGACGGGCTCCAGTACGCCTGCTCACTGCCCTGCCTGAAGTCCAGGAGTGGGCCGTGTGCCTCCATGACCCTGCTCCCCCATGGTCCCCACTGTGGAGATTCAGTGACTCGGGGCTTTTGATAACAGCGGTTAGCATCATGCTTGGCCTGGTATAACTCCACCACCCGTCCTTCCAAAAGACAGAGATATATTCCCAAGCCTTTGACTCTGCTTTAGCCACTTAATATTGAATTAAAAAATACTGTTCTGATATCCACTTCACTTCCTTTCTCTCTTCTCAGTCCTCAGTCTTCTTAATCATTCAGTCAGCTTCTTGAAATCCATGTCATACCTGTGAGTAGGGAGTCAGATTTGACCCCTAAATAGGGCTGAGCTGGCTGTGAGGAGGGTAGGCCAGATCCTCAGCAAAGTCAAAGGAGTTAATGGGAAAGAGGAGAGGGAATGCACCACTCCCTAAACTATGCCCATCACTCAGCACTATCCCCGTCTATTAGGGCCTGTGCAGGGGGTGGTGCTTTTGAGAAATTAATTGATCAAATTATTAGATACCTGAGAGTTGTACCTAAGATGCTCTGTTTTTTGGACAGGATTCCTAAAGAGATTACAGTGAGTAATATCCACCAGGCCATTTGCAACATTCCTTTTCTGGACTTCCTTACAAACAAACACATGGGGATACTGAATGAAGATCAGTGAATGGAATGAAGATGCCCTGGAAAAGTGGGATTTGAAGCTGAATCTGAAGCTTTGACCTGTGATGACTCTTCCATTTGGGGAAGGAGTTAGTTTTCCATGTGCCTCAGAACATCCTGGCTACCAAACCATTGCCTCTGTCTAATTCAGCATAACACCAGAGTGTTCAGTCCCAGACCAAGTCCCTTTAGGACAGAAGTTCGTTTCTGGATTCTAGACCGGAGCTGTGAGCAGGTGCATGCTGTCACCTTGCGTTTGTTTGCTCTCTGTGGGGCTCCAGGAGAGTCTCAGTGCCAGGCTCGCCTCTGGCATCCTCGGGTCATTGGGGAGGGGTGTGTCCTGGGCCTGAATCTCCCTCCAGGAGGCAAAAGAGTCTGACGGGCTACAGAAGTCACCTGTTCTATAGGCTGGGGTTACAGGCAGCCCCAGCAGGTGCCCTGCTAACTAACACCTGGGGAAGGACTGGGCTTCAGCACTCAGTGCGTGGCCGTGGTGAGGAAGATCTGCGCTCAGCCCACGTGAATCAGCCACATGTTTGCCTTGTGGAAAACACAAAAGCCTGGAGGCTGCAAACTAGGCAGAATAGTTTCTTCATGGAGCACGGAGCATCTCTACAGCCAGTCTCAGAACATTGCCAAGGGATAGACAGATCCCAGCACAGGTCAGGAAAAGGTTTAGCTATAACCAATCAGCTCTTAATATGTTAGTAACAGACAACACTCACAAATCCAGGGCACTTGGCACGCTCACACCAGCTTGTGTGTGCACCAGGCAAAGTGCTGGTTCCACCCATTTGCGTGGTGTGCAGGGGCTTCTGCTGCTGAATCCTTGTGGGAGTATCTGCTGGTGAGTAGCCCCTGGGACAGGCCCACTGGGATTGTTCATCCTGTCAGTGGATTTAACACCCTGTTCTCTGTCAGGTTTTTCCCAACAAGAAAAGTGTTTTAAAGAGACACTTGTGAGTGCCTTAAAGGTAGAGAAATGACTGCTGGAGTCAAGAGACAGGGATGTCAGTGCTCAGAAGCAGTGAGAACAGATTGTGGCCAGAGCAGAGCCCCTCAGTGGGAGGAAGTGAACAGAAGGTGGTTAGCAGTGCTCTATGTGACGTCCATTCCTGCTACAGATCCTCTCTCCCAACCATCCTAACACACTCTGTGTGGAAGGAAAGAATTTAGATTGTTAGGATTCTGTTAGGAATCTACTCAAAGAAAAGTTGAAATCTGTGAGTCAGAGTCAAAGACATTTATTCAAGGAACCTAATTCATGCTTTCATGAGTCCTGTAGATGTTTGAGTCAGGAAAAGAAGGTGGGGAGGTACTATGAGCACTGCTGTTTTTTATTCAGCATCTGTAGATTGCACATGCAGAAGGCGATCTATTCAGTAAGGCCTAGGGCACACCCTGGCTTAGTAATAAAGAGGCTTTGTATGTACAGGGTCAGATACTCCATACGTGCACTGCTCCAAGCAGGGTTAATGGGCACATGTATAGATTCATTCAGCAGTGGGCTATGACAGATCTATAGGATGGATTTGATCTAAATGAGAACACTCAGATTTATTATCTACAGGTGTGAAAGCCTAAGAAATTATCTTTTTGCAAAAGAAATATTAAATGATTTAATAATCCCCATATGTTAATGTTTCAAATGTATTTGTATCATAATGTGTAACATAATTGTGTAACAAAAATATCTATAATAAATCTTTAAGTATTTGTGGTGGGTTTTTCTGAGTTTGAAGCATTACACTGTGGTCGGGTTCTTCTCACATTAGGTTCAGAAAGAGCTGGGATAGGACAAAGGTAACAGGTATTTGTGTGTTTAAATTCTTCCACTTTGTCCAAAAAGAATTTGCAGAGACGCAAGACAAGAATTATAGTTACATTAAAGCCTGGAAAAAAATTGGAAGATGACATGTTGTCCCCAGATGTAATGATTTCTGACAGCTTGGGGCAAAGGAAGACTGCATAATTGAGCTCCAAGCTTCCTTAAAGCCAAGGCAAAGAGGGAAACAACACGTTATCTAATGAAGAAACATACTGGCTTTTCTGGCAAGGTGGACTTGGTCTGTACTGAGGTCTGAAGTTGCTGCTGTGACCATCTGCTTGCTATCAGAATGACCAAATCATTTTAAAAATGGAAAAAACATTTCAGAAATGACCACTTTTTATATCCACCCTTAAGGGTTTTGAGAACTCTTCAAAGAAAGTTCTTCAGGGAGGAGGCACTGTGATGCAGGCCAAGTGTGTGCCTTTCCTGGGACCAGACTTCACTTAGTGTCAACTTGTAGGGAGTCGAAGAGTCTAGAGGAAGGAGAAGAAGGGCGTGCCTAGGCGCCCTTCCTCGGTGTCAATGACCTCACCCACACCTTTAACAGGAGCTGCTGTCTCACAGGCGTGACGAAACTGGGGGCTCCCCCTTATTAGCGGGAGGAGCCTGGGTGAAGGGGGCCAGCAGGGCCAGTTTCCTCAAAGCTGCTTTTGGGGTTTTGGCCTACAATTCTGGAGTTACTGGAAGGATGAAAGTATCCGTATTTGTCATGGGTTTCTCTGAGTTTCAAGCACCACGGAGCACGGAGATGCCGGGGTCTTGGTCTAAATGAGAGAGGACCGTGGGGCGTCCTTTTGGCGGGGCCTGTTGTGCATCCTCAGGGCTGACGGAGGTAGCTGCTGGCAGTGCTGATGTTGGTTATGGAATGATTCATATGAGCTCTTTTTTTTTTTGACTGAAATTAGCTAACAGATTGAACTGTGTTTTATTTTTAAAAACTTCTCTTTACAGGATTAATGCAAAAATGATTATATAGAAACAGCAAATACAGTAAGATACAAAAATTTTCAATTACCCTTAATTCCTTCTGTTACTATCCCCAGGCATTTCTCTCTGGCTTCGTCTCTGTATATTATGTGTACATGAACACATGGGTTGGGACCACATAATTGAGACTGTGGTCTCAGTTGCTTGAGGCCACTCTAGTGACATCATTTTGGCCTCGCTGTGACCTGGAGTGAGTAGGAGGAGGTGTCTCCTCCGATTCCAGTGCCCTAATAACGAAGTCTGGTAAGGAAGGTTACTGGGTTGAGATGTTTGTGAAAAGCTGTTCTAGTGCATTCCAAAAAGCTTGGGCACACAGCGTGCCTTCCGGAGGTCAGGTCTGTCTCCGGCGGAGGTGCAGCACCGCTGCTGCAGGCCCACACCGTCCCCCGAGCTGAGGGGCAGCAGGCGTGCAAGAGGAAAGCACTGCCAGCTAGCTATGCAGCATGACACAAGCAGAGTCTAGTAAGAGGGACTGTGTCACAGCATTAGATGAGCCAAAACTGCACATGAGAATGCAGCGGGCTGCCTGGGAAGGGGAGGAGTGCCGGGGCAGCAGAGTAAGTCTAACCACTAGTGACTTATGTGCTAAGCACCTTGCACATAATTGCACACAAACAGGAACTCTCTTGCAAAGGTAGGGAGTATCCTTACTTTGCAGATAAGGAAACCAAAGCTTAAATCAAATTGCTCACTACTAGTGAGTGGAGAAGCCAAGAGTTGAGCCCAAGATGAGCTTCAAAGCCAGCTTTGGCCCCAGGCTCCTGCATGAGGGTGAAGGAGGGTGAAGGTGCTGCGTTCTGTGAAATACTACAGAAAACACCACTGTGGGTGGGCTACAGCCCAGAGCGAGAGCCTGCAGGATTTACAGGCTTCCAGGGGAAACAGGCAGGAGCCACACTACATTCAAGTACTTGTACCAAGAGGACAAAGGACGTGTATGAGAAGGCCCTCATGTTTATAATTAAAGAAAATGACAAGAAATTGAGAATACATGTTTGTGTTTTAGTAAAATCTGATACTGTTCGATTAATCTGTTCATTACTGTAGAATGCCCAGCAGGGAGTCTGTTTTCTCTTAGGCACATCTCACGGGCAAACCAGCCACGACTGAGATACTAGAACCCTTTGTGTAAGCCGGTGGTTTTGGCTTTCCCTTTAAATGATTCAGCATTTCCTCGGCTGGGCTGAGGGGAGGGCCGAGCCTGCCAGAGCAATTGCCTCTGAAGTGGGAAGTTCTTCTCAAACCCAGGTGTCACCTCCAAACTCCAGAAAATGCTCACCAGCCGGAGCCACTTGCGGCCTGGGGAGGGATACAGATCCACAGGCAACTCCGTGCCTTACAAAAGCTGTCCTAAGCTTGTCTCTAATCTCAAAGCAAGGACATCACCTCCTTCAAATGTTTGTGCCAGGAGGGGACCAGGCTTGTTGCACACGGCCGCAGGCTGGGGTTTACTGAGCAAGTCCAGTGGGGGCTTTCCAAAGACCAGATGAGCTGCCTCCTGGGCAGGCGGGAGGGTTAAGGGCTGGTATAGATGATGATGCTTCCTAAAAGCTCCCAGTTCTTAGCCAGTGTGTATGGTGTCCCTTCTAGTCATCAATATGTTAGGGGAAAAGACTGGAATGAGTGATAAAACGTGGGGCTCAGAAACCTACAAGGTAAATATCATTCATTCAGGAGGGCTTCAGGCACTCATCCCAAGGTGTTTTCTTAAAACACAGATCATCTTGGCCATAAGGAAATAATGTCTTTGAAATGTAAACCCCATGATTGACAACATGTTTCCCATGGAAACTTCTTTCTGGTTACTCAGCATCATTGTGGGTCACATGCAGGTAAGTAGCTGATTTCTTCTACAACTTGAATGTGAGGGGCCATCTGTAGGACAACCCAAGGCTATTGGGTTATAGCTGATAAAATTATCATGCAGCCTGGGAAAAGAGCAAAGTGGACATTACTGGTTCTTTCAGTATGGAACCTGTCATGCCCTCTTCCTCAACCCACATGGACCAATTTAGTTCACAAAAGAATTGATCATCAAGTTATCCAGATTTAAAAACTGAAGGGTGACCAAAAGAGGCAATTAGAAAAAGATGTGAACCTTCTGCACACTTCTTGAGGAAGAAGATAGTTGAAGCCCAGAGTTGAGCTGGGGTGGGGGTGGGGGGTGCCCATCTGTACCAGGCCCGCAGCCCCAGTGGCCAGAGGAGTGGTCTCCAGTGGCACTGACGGGCCCTCCCCCTCCTCGACAGCAGGGGGCCGGCAGGTTCCAAGATCCCAGCCACACACTGGGCAGCAGTGGCGTCCGACCTGTCCATGGCGCTCCACCCGGAGGGCAGTCAGTCATACATTGAGGATCTGGGGGGCCGAGGCCTGAAAGATGGCTGAGGGGTTAGGAGCAAACTTCTTCCTCACCTCAGGGACCTGGAAAATGAAATGTGGCCACATATCAGTGGGCCTTTTCCTCCAACATCCCCATACCCCAGCTCCAGGAAGAAATGCCACCTCCCATCCTCTGGGTCCCTGGGGGCAACTCCGCGGGGGGCAGGGGCATGGCTTTGGTAGGTCAGGTATGTCCCCCCGACCTTCCATTCTGCTCCCTGAAGCCACCTCTGGGTGGCATCAGGAAGCTGAACAGGCCCCACCTCTGTTCCATCTTCCCTTCTGTACACCAATGTGGGAGGCTCCTCACTAGTGTTCAGTGGTCAAGGGTAGGTAACAGGGATTTAGGAGGGAATGATGCCCTGCCCACCAGAGATGCCAGCACTACAGGGGCACCCACTTTGCTAGCAACAAAGAAGTATCATGCTTTTCTGTTTGTTGAGGAACAACCGAGTGCTCAGACCCCACTGTCCTTAGCCAGTTCCCTTTCGCACCATCAAAATCTGACTCCTAGTCCATGCCCTGGAAAAAGGCCTCTGTCCCCGCACCCCCTGCAGCCAGGAGCCAGCCACTCCCACCGCGGCAGCTGTCCCAGGCTCACCGGGAAGCTGGCCCCAGGGCTGCAGTCCCATCCAGAGCTGTGGGTGGTGATGACTGTGGCGGGTTTCACCTTCGTGGATCTTGGCGGCTTCACCCCAGTCCAGGCCTGGAATTCCTGTCTGCAACAGAGAACACAGTCACAATCTTGCACGGGTTCAGCCATCCTTTCCTCTGATCCCTCAGGGGTCACTGTCCTAGCCCCCTGCTTGGGATGACCCAGCCTATCTCCCCTGCTGAAACCTGCTTCAGCTCCAGATGCGCCTTCCCCCCTTACAGACAGACTTGGCAGACGGGGTGCCCTCCCCTAGCTGGCCCGTGCTTCACCTCAGAGTGCTGCACCCTGAAGCCTGCTCCCACAGCCCTGAAGGAAGTAGGAGCGAAAACTTACTCCCACGTCGCAGATGAACAACAGGCACAGCTGCATAGAGTTAGCAAGTGCTGAGTCAGCCGCTGTATCTTACTCTTCACAGACTGCAAGCACCCAGTGTGCTGGACCTCCAAGACAAGGCGAGTGTCGCCCCTTCCCAAAGCTCCAGGTATCATCTCCAGGCCACTTAGTAGGGCCCTAGAGGCCCAGAACCTATAGGGTAGGTTGCCTCCAGGCAAGGTCACTGGTAACCCTTACATCCAGAGGAAGTGCTAGCCTTGATGGCACTCAGCATAGTTACAACTGAGAAGGAAAATAAGGCTCAGTGTTATGCTTAGTTTTTAATAATTTATCCTATTGAATCCTGCAAAAGAGAGTAAATCATAGACCATGTCAAAAAACCACAAGATGGCCTGGCTTTTGCATGGCTATGTACACGTGGGCACTTGTACAGGGCTGCGGGAAGGGACAGTGGGCTGCCCCTGGGGAAGCTGACTCCCCAGAGGGAAGGGACAAGGCTGGCACAGCCTGGCTGCATGGCCCCGGAGTAGCATTCTTCTGATGAAGACTTAATTCCTCAATTCCTCTGAACAAAAAAAGACCTATTTCTGTTAATTCTATCAATTGCTAGACAGTGAGCTCAGGAAGGCAGAGACCTCTGCCCACAGGAGCACCTGGCCAAGGGGATGTTCTGTGGAAGTGTCCTGCCGGCCAGGGGCAGCCCCACATGTGGGCTGGTCCACTCTGGTCTCATCCCACCCACACCGTGGCCAGGTTTTAGGCCCTGAGGTGAGCACAGCTGGGCACCCCTGGGTGGGCTGTGTGCACAGTGAGCAGCCAGGACTGCCGTGGTCAGCACACAGGGGCCAGGAGCTCTCAGATTACTTCTGCTTCTGAGGCTGCAAGGTGCCGAAGACCAGCTGCCTGCACCATCTGCCACTCCATTTCTGCTGGGGAAGCAGGTCCTCCCCTTCATGCGTCCTTCTGTCCCCAAACTGAGCTGAGTCTTGGCCTGGCAGCAGGGGTCCCTAAGCAGGAAGCGGCCAGAGCCAGGGTAGTGCAATGCCAGTGCTAGTGGCCACTTCCAGGGCAGGGCAGGGCTGGGGCCCAAGTGAAGGGCTGCAGTGGGGATAGAGAAAGGACATCAGCTATAGAAACAGCAGGACCTGGTATCTGCCCAGCAGAGGAGGAAGGCAGACTACAGCTCTGGCCAGGAAGGTAACAACTACAGGGCTGCCTCACTCACCAAGCAGGTCCCACCACCATCCAGTCCTGTGGGCCTCAGCTGGGCTTTGAGGGCCACAGTCCCTCCCACTGTGGGGCAGGGGCTGCCCAGGGCAATGCAGAGCACCCTGGACTGTGAGTCGGAGGCCTGGCTTATCAGCACACACACACGGCTTCAAACAAATCCCTTAATTTCTCTGAGCCTCAGTTTCCTCTGCTGATCCATGTGCATAAGGTTATTAAGCCTCTGTAGTGGGCACTTGGGAAAAGGGGACCCAGGTCTTCAACACTTTACAGTCAGCTGACCCACCCAGGAAGGAACAAGGGAAATGACTGAGGAAGGAGCTCGTTTAGAAGTGGTGGAGGTAGAACCTGGGCCAAAGGTGCTGAACAGCAGAAGGAATTCTGGAGGGGAAAGCTCCAGGAGGAAGGAGGCACCAGGCTGGCCGAGGACAGGACCCCTGGGCCCATCAAGCCAAGCAAGTGAGGGCTCAGCTCTCCATGGAAACCATGGGCCAGGCCAAGTGGCCGACCGCAAGTACTCTTGACATCTTTGGGTTCCCTGCACTTGTTCATTTGCTTTGTTTTGTGAATTTTTTAAACAGTTCACTTAGGTAACATGCATCTTGCAAGATAGCAGGCAGGGTACAGCTGCTCGAGCCAGGCTGTGGGGTGTCCCAGGGGTCAGGTGGCATGGTGCTGGGGGGAGCCAAGCTCAGCAGTGTCCTGTGTGTCTGCCAGGGTTGGGGGTGTGGGACCCAGGCAGCCAAGCTCTTGCTAATTCTGCTTGACAGACGAGGAAAGGCTCAGAGAGGCCAAGTGACATGCCAACTTTATATAACCAGAAGGGGTCCCCCATGAGTCCCAGGTCCTGTCTCCATGGCCTTTCCACCACTGCAGGCCTCAGTGACTCAGAGGAGGCAGCACCTTAGAGGGTGATTAACAGGGTTACAAATGGGCTCTGCTCTGCATGACCTGTGCCAGCCCGGTAAGTTCCTCGTCTGTAGCCTGGGGACAGCAAGAACTGAACTGACATCTTGGATAGGTGGTCTCCACAGGAAGTCTTGAGCCTGGTGCCTGGGGCATTGAAGCAGAGTAACAACTAGAACCTTTAGTATGACTGGAGCTGGGAGGACCCAGCAGAACATCTAACCAGCTGTCCACGGTTAAGAGGCTGCATCTAAAAGCCCAGCCTTTGCTTGAACGCTCGCAGGGAGGACGAGCTCAGCACCACACAGGCAGCTCCCTCCATTGCCAGCACAATTATTAGAAAGCGTTTCCCTCTCCGAGCTGTGGCTAACTCCCTGCAAGCTCCACTCAGGGAGCTCGGTCCTGCTTTAACCCCTCTGTCCCACTCCAGGCGCCTGGAACATCAGCCTTCTGAAAGCGCTGCAGGCCCAGGACCCCGGCCTTCCAGACCTCTCACTGCCCAGGCCGCTCCAGCTGGTTCAGGGCATCAGGTGGCAGTCAGAGCCATCGAGCTGGCTGGGGCCTGAGCAGGGCTCAGTGACCGTCCCACTGACATCCCGCAGGCATTGCAGTGGCTCAGCTTGATCAACACAGGATCCTGAGCACAGACCCACCCAGCAGCAACCACTCCCCATCAGGCTCCCGAAGATTCACACATCCTGTGGGAACCTCTTGATGACGGTGCTGGTGCCCAGGGGTACACAAAGTCCGCAGGATGAATTTTACTGTATGGAAATTCTACCTCAATACAGTTGCTTTTAAAAATAATAAAATTGAGGAAAGTTTATACCTTTTGACCCCTTAATTCCACAAGTAGGAATTTATACTAAAATTATGGCCAAGGATTTAACTATAAACATGCTTATTACAGAAGTTCTTTTCTAAAAAAAATTTTTTTTTGAAAAGCTAATACTTGTACTTTTTTTTTTAAAGGACCAGTTCGAAAGAGACAGAGAAAAGTGAAAAGTCAGTTTCCTTCCATCCATGACAGCCTCTATCCCTCTTTTCCCATCCTCCTCTCCCCAGAGGTTACCATTTTCTCACACATCCATTCGGAGATGCCCTGTGCTTCTGTGAGCAGATATGGACATATCAAAACCCCTTTAAAAACACAAATAGTAGCAGGCATGCTGTTCTGCATCTTGCTTTTTGACATGCACCCACTGAAGCTCTTCCCTTCTCAGTACATTCTGGGCTTCCCAGTAAGTCATCCTGTGGTGGGGCAGAACTAACTAGTCCCCTCCATCTGTAGGACAATGGGGTGGTTTCCATCTTCCACTGTACAGTGTTGCAGCCTACCTTAGTTCCCACCCCAATCCAAGAAAGCTTGTAGGGAAAATTCCTGGAAGTGAAGTAACTGGATCAAAGGGACAGTGTTTTTAATAGCCCTGAATTAGGAAAACACTAAATATCCAATGACATGTGAGTAGTAACATGGACAGCCATCCACAAGAGGTGAAGAAAATAACAAGTACAATAATAATCTAACCATGTAAGAATTACAAATGTGCATGCCCTTTGATACATGTAAAGGATTAAAAAGAACCACCAGTTTGGGGTGGGGTTTAGGGGACACTCGTTTTCTTTATTGTAATTTCTGTTTTTCCAATTTTTCTACAGTATGTAGAACTTTTGTAAAAAAGAAAAAAAATAATTGTCCAGGGACAGAGGTGAGGAGGGAGGTGGAAGGGGTGAGGACAGGGCAGGAGTCATAGCCCTGTCCTCAGTGAAAGCCACGTCAGGGGCCTTCAGTCACTCGGTGGGGTCGGTGGAGGGGACCACCACACGGGACCTCACCTGACTGATAGTCACCACCAGTACCCTCCACAGAGGGCTCCAGCCAGAGGGAGCTCAGGCGCTTGGTCCGCACGCACCTCTCCTGTGGCTAGGCCCACCTGGGGGAAGTTAAGGGGAAGCAGATTTTAACTCTCGAAGTCAGGGCTTTGGGAATGGGCTGCCAGAGAGAGGGGAGCGGGCTGTGGGTTAGGTAGTGATCTCCCCGTCCGCTGGGCTGTTCGCTCATTCATTATGAGGCTGGTCAGGCAGCAGCGAAGGGGACGCCTGCAGCACCTGGGACAAAAGTGGATGTCGTCCGAGGCCGCCTGCAGCTCTCCAAGTTGTGTGGGGTGGGGGCTCCAGGCGCCTCCTCTCTCCCACTCACCCTGGGCCTCCGTTTCCTCCGGCCTCGGGGAGTGGATACGATGCGCTCCCTGCCCCCACCCCGGTACCTGTACGACGTGGTCGCCGCTGCAGCCGCGTCCGCTTCGCCGATGGGAAGCACGTAGATGCCCCGGCCAGGGGACGCGGGGGGCTTGCCCCTGCGGCCGCCCGTGCCAGACCCGCGCCCCTGCGGCGCATCTCTGGGCCCCGCGGGCGCCGTCCACAAGCCGAAGTCTCGCTGGTACTGAGTGAGCGGCACATCCCGGGCGCGGTCCCGGGCGTCTGCGGGGGACCGGCCCCTGCGCGAGGCGGCGCTGCCCAGGCCCGGCTCCTCGCTCTCGAGGTCCGAGTAGCTGTGCAGGGTCAGCGGCACCGCCACGTCGGAGCGGTCCAGCTGGTTCCAGCGCCGCGCCAGGCAGCAGAGGCGGCTGATGCACGGCCACGCCATGCCGGCCGGCGCCCGCCGCTCGGCTCCCGGGGCCTCGGGCCGCACCGCCTCCGCCCGGCGTCTCTCCCCCGCAGCCCTCCCCGCGCCGCTGCAGCACCGCCCCCTGGCCCGGGAAGGCCGCCGGGGAGCGGAGGACTCGGAGACGGCCCCGCGTGGCCCCGGCCCTGGGTGTGCGCGGCGGGAGCCGGGCGCCGGCCGGGCAAGGGCGCACGGCTGCAGGGGCGCAGAGTAGGGATGTTGGGGGAGACTGAAACCAGCTGGAGACATTTATTAGTGTCCAACTTCAAAAATGTTTCATAATTTAATCCAAAGTTTCCTAAATGTTACTGTATAAATCGGACTCGGCTTCTCAAAGGCAGAGTTCTGGATGGTAATAATTCTTCGCTGATCGCCTAAAGCCAGCACCCAGGCGCAGTCCGCCTCCGCGAGGGCGTTGGCTCTCGCCGACAAGTCAGTGACTGACGCATTGGGGCCAGGCTGCGTCGCCGGGACCCACCAGCGTACAGAGGGGAAGCTGCAGTGCTGAAAGGGCAAAGGGGAAGACTTGGGGACCTGCTTCCTAGAGCACACGTGTTCGAATCAGCCTGAGTCACTATTTGCCTTTACAGTGCTGAATTTATAACAACCAATCTCGTGTTCATTCGGAATTGGCACTGGCCCTCAGCTGACCTTTCCCAGGGTTCTAAAAGCCCTGATTTAAAGGCATGGCCACAAAGACATTACTTCGTCTTGTTAAGATGGCACAAATCTTGGGCTGCTGTGCTGTTTCCCTCCCTTCTCTGCAGACATTCTTGTTCTACTGCAGAGCTAAGTTTGGGGCATCCTCCAAGCTAAAAGTCAGTCTGTTTAATGCAAGACAGGGTACAAAAACAATTCCCTGGTCACACTCAAAAGCTTCCTGAGTATCTGACACATGCCCTCTGTTGCACTGCAGCCCAATTACTAGTAACACTACTGAAACAGCATTAATTACCCAGAGCTCCATCTCAAGCATACTACTTGGATAGTATCCAGTCTGTGCCTCAGACTGCAGTGCAGCCCTGACCAGTCAGAATACAGATTCCTCTCCCAAACCATTGCCTGTCTTAGCATGAAGTCATAGAAAAGTGACACTGACCAGGCTAACAACTGCACGCAGCAGCACATGTGCCAGGGCCCTTGGTTAGCCACCCAGAGGGGGAGGTTGATGACTACAATATCCCATCCTGCAAAAAAGAGCACCTCATCTTTTTATTTATTCATTCATCAAATAACACTTATCATGTGCCTGGAATAATGCTGGGTGCCTTCAGGAGGCTTACAGCAAGCACAGTGGGAGGCAGACATGGGAACAAGAGTAATAGAACTGGATAAAGCAACAGTGGGAAGAGGCCCAGGATGCCTACGGTGAAGGAGGTGGGTGGGCTGGTGGGAATGCAGGGCGTAGGGGATAAGTGTTCAGCCAGAGGCCCTGGCAGCAGAGACCATGGAATGACTTGGAAGCCACACCAAGTTTTCAATTTTTATAGGTGACAACAGGGAATGACTCAAGTGTCTGTGGCCATTTGAAGCACAAGGGCATTTTAGAGACCAGCTGGAGAAGTCTGAACAGTCCAGGCCAGAGACAACAGACTAAACTAAGGTACAGGGAGTGGAGAGGAGGGGCTGGATTCTGGACATAAGGGGTCAATTTACTGGCTCCGGTCTCTGGCTTCCAAATGGCAATGTCACTCTTTGGGCCAAGAGTGCTATCAGAGGTGCCTGCGCAGCACGGTCTCAGCACCTGGAACCATACCTGGCACATAGACACATGTATTGAGGTTGAATGTGGAGATGTTTAGAGGGTAAGGTAACAGAAGCCACAGCAAGTGGAGATGAGACAGCAGCTATGGGGACCCCACACTTCAGTGGCGAGTGGAGGCAGCACAGCCCAATAGGCTCGGAGTGAGGTAGGGTGTGGCCTTGCGATGAGCACACATGAGCAGAGAGGCCAAGATGAGAAAACAGTAGGCAAAAGGGGGAGTAGGGACAACTGCCAAAGCTGTGGACAGCAAGGCTTACGCTCAGAGCTGGGCACTGACCTCCCAAGGCCTCTCACAGGAAGACAGAAGTTGGCTGGTCAAAAGCTCCAGCATCGAAGGATGTTATGGACGGAAGTGCTCTAGGGGCTTGACCTTCTAAATGCACCTTCCCTCATCATCACAAAGCAGGGAAAAGATATGGTCCGGTTTCCATGGTCTGCCCCTGGCAAGACATGAATTTCATGTCAGACTCCATGTGGAAGGTCCATGTGATCTCATCTCTAAAAACTCTACTCTCATCTGTGTGTCGCAGGGCTGTTAGCACAATGTATTCAGAAATGCCAAAGCACAGCTGTGTGACCTTGGGCAGATCCCACACACTGCTCTTGTTGCTTACAGGCAAAATGAGGGCTGGGTTAAAAAAAATTCTCCTGTAAGTGACATTAGTTCACAATAGAATCCTCTGCCTGCCAAGAATAACTGGTACTTTGCAGTAGTCTGGTCTGGTAAAAAAAGATGTAAGAACCACCAACCCTGGACAATCCCCACGTGCGGGGCGTGCGCTGCCAGTCAGCTTTCCACACCAAGCAAGGTGGACGCCCTCCTGCTCGCTCCCCCAGAGCCCAGCATGCTGTGCCCCCTGCACAAGCTGGGCCTTTGCTCCTTCCAGTGAAAGACCTGGATATAACCTTCTCAGGTCACCAAGTCACTAAAAACTCCTGTAAATCCTTTCAAGAAAAAATTTTAAATTCTTAAGCTGCATTTCCTAGAAATAAACCTCAGTCATGAAGGCAACAAGTTCTACAGTGAAGCTGTTAGGCTATTTCAGTCAGATGCTCCACTTCAAAAACATACATTTTCAAACATAAGATGCAATTAGGCTCAGATTCAAGTCTGAATTTATCCAAGACTTTCTTCTCTCAATTTATCTATACTTTTAACCTAGAAAGCAAAATCTAAAAATAGGTTTTTGTATAATGCCACTTGCTGCCAGAAAACATCATCTTTCTTGGTAAAGTTTTAAAAAATACCACAGCTGTTACTTCAGACCATCTCAGAGAGGAGAAACTCTCAACTCTACCTATCAACCAACCAAGTGGAGAATAGGCAAGCAAGTAAATGCTCAGGAGAGATGCTAGAAGGCCAACGTGCAAACAAGGGCCTCTGAGGGGCAGTGAAGCCTTGCCATGTGCACTCTGACCAGGTTCGCAGCTCAAACTGTGTCACATGTAACAATCACAGCAAGACTCCAGCACAGCATCACAACTCTTCCAAAGGGACACACACCCGCTGTTTACAAACTAAAGATATATATAAACCTTTATTTCATAACTTTGTCATAATTCACGTCCTCATAAGACATGTACTGGGGACATAGTTCAAAATCCTGGGAAGCTAGATGCTGGATGCCTTCCAGGCAGGAGCCAAGCTGTGGTCACTCCAGGGCTGATGCGTTCTGGGGCGTTCGGGCAGCATGGACCAGACACACCAGCATGGTCCAAACCCAGCTTTACTCAGAGCCACCTCCTTTCCTGGGGCCATTAGTCCTCAATTCATGCCAAATTTTCACTAGAGGCTCCCTGTTCTTCCAAATGAGTTCATGACCATAAGTAATATACCATCTGGGGAAAAGAAAAACAAACCAGGTCGAACATTCAAAAAGTGTGACATACAAATGGTTAAGTGTATGATGATATCAAGTTGACATTAAAAAAACTGAATGCCAGTGTCACTTATTATCTAGCTTATTAAAGTAACTGACCATTTAATGTAGATCAACGATTTACCTTTCACATGTGGAGTATGTAAAAGATAGAAATAGGATAGGACCGTGTGTGACTGCTCTGAAAAATGTAAGTATGTTGCACACACACTACTTTTGGTTCACCACAGCCCTCCAAGTTAAGCATCACTCTTCCCATCACAGACAGAGGAAGCCAAGTCTGAGAGAGTAATTTGCCTAAAGTGCTAACAGCTTCTAAGAGGTCAACAAAGACTCACACTCAGTCAGACTGATTCTAAACCTGGGTTCTTTCCTATATCAAGTGCAAAAACACATGTCGGAATTGCAGTTTACTAATGATGACTAGAGCAGCTTAAATGCTTCTCGTCATCCGTCTGCAGACCCAAACGCTGCCCATCTTTAATCTACAATACAGTTCTGGTCCCCACTCTCCTATTAAAAACTTTCTGAAAGCAGCCTGCAGCAATGAACTGAGGAAGCCACAGCACTGAGAACTTTAGTCACTTGCTCAGGCTGCACAACTAGGAATCACCAGAACTGAGACTCGAACCCAAGTCTGACTCCCAAACCGGTGACCCAAAAACTGTGCGTCCTGCAGCAGCTAGTGAGCGTCTATGACACGCTGCTGAGCGCAGTGAGTGACCAACAGCAAGGGCCTGCCATTGCCAAGCCCTCGGGCCCAGGTACTGCACTATCCACGCTGCCAGTGTATGTCGGGGCCCCTGCCATGCTTCTTGGGGAAGGCTGGGAGGGCTTCCTGAGAGAGGCAAGTTTGATTCCAAATGGCTGTTAGTGAAAGCTTTTACTGAAACCTTTATTTTTACCCTGGTTTCCCCAAACAGACTTCCTGTTCCCTGAGGCAGAGACTGGATTTTGTTGATCTTTACATCTCCCAGACACCTGACTGAAAAAATGCCCTCTATGACTTAGGTATCAGAAGAGCAGTTTAATGTTTTAACTTTTAAAATGTTCTATATATGTATTTTTTAAATTATAAAGTGATTGAATTGTAACTGAATTTTAATATTCACTAAGGTAGAATCTGATCATGAAAATAGTCACCATTAAAATTTTGAAAAATTAGTAAATTTATAAAAAGAAAAAGGCACTTAAAAAACATGCAAATTAATAGGCACATACAGAATTCTTTTGTGCTTAGAGCCAAATTCTGTGAACATATAACAAGAAAAAAAGGATCATTGTAAGATTCAAATGCAATTAGAAAACTTGGAAGAAATGAATCACTTATCAGAAACTCCATTGATAGTGTCTTCCCAAATCTTTTTAACCAATTTATTTCTAGCAAAGAGTCAAATACTTAAATTTTACATGTACACTGTTCTGACTATAATCATTGGTCATCTGGCTAAGTTAAAATTAGGAAAATACTTTAAGTTTTCTTTTCTTTTTTTTACAGAAGACTCATACAGTCTTAGCACTTGTTCTGAAACCCCAGCTCTGCAATGACTAGCTGTGTGACCTTGGACAAGTTTCCCTTTTTAAGCAGTTTCCTTTCTGTAAAACAGAATACCACAATTTTTTAAAGTA